GTTTGCACTCGATGGTCAAGTGCATCGTTGGCTACCCTGGGGGCCCTCCCACAGCCACCAACTGTCCAGGACTCCCCTCAGCACACACCCCACTTGCAACATCTCACACTGGCCTGTACGAGTGTGCGTCCCAAGGCTGTCTGGGGTTGTCAGCTCTGACAAGGAGACAGAACCACCGTTAGCCCATCCAGATAGCAGGAGCCCATAGCCCACAGCAAGCGTGTGCGATGGCTATCCAGAGCATCAGAGAAGAGCATCTGACAACATGACTTCCATGGGGAGCTCCCCGAGCAGTGAACACCACAGCGTGACAGCAGTGACTCCGTGTGTCTTCCTAAGAGGCAGCGTGGCTTCTGCCTGGCCTCGTCCTCCCCTCTCTGTCTGGGAACACTCACTGTTGGAACCACCCAGCCTATCACCAGGAGGCCCAGGCCATATGGAGAAGCCACATGCAGGTGTCCAGCTGAAGACCAGCTGGACCAGCACCGACCCCCACCATGCGCCTGGCTCAGCCCCTGTCCCACCCACCCCAGCCAATGGGAGCAGAGACAAGCCATCCCCTCACCTGCCCTGTTGAACTCCTGACACAGAGAACATGAGAAATAACAGATTAGTGTTCTAAGCCCTGTCTGGGGGTGAATTTCATGCAGTGGTGTAAAATTGCTAGTTAATATGCCCACTTTACATGGGAGGACACTGGAACACAGGCCGGGTAGATGACTGCCCAAGGTTACATAGCTGGTGGGGTGGATTAGACACTGTTCCTCAAATTTCCACTTCCACCTCCACACCCCCACCCCATGACAAAGAACTCGCCTGGTGGCCTGCAGTGGTCAGTGGAATGCACAGGGTATAAGTGTGTGGGTTCTAAGCCCAGGCCTTAAGCAGCATCCTCTGGGAACAACCAAAATCCACCATGAGGACATGCCCAGGGAGCTGCTGGCCCAAGGAGAAGGAAGGACGGCTGGCACAGACCTGAACTCAACCCCAGAGCTCTAGGTGGGGGCGAGGGTAGAAGCCTGTTAGTAGGCACTGAGCTGGGCACATGCTTGTCCTAACTGATGGCTGCAACCACCTCGTGGCATGCTGGGACCTGGAGCCAGCACTGAAACACAAAGCCACACACTTGGGTAGGGGTGAGCCTCCTGCAGCCCGGCACAGCACCGAGTACCCAGGGGTGCATGCAAGTGATTTTGGCACATGCCGGGCACTCTGCCCAAGGGGGTACCCACTTTGGGGCAGCAAGACGAGGGTCTGAGCAAAAGGCAAAGTGTGCCCAGAGGGGGAGGGAGTCGGGAAGGGCACCCCGAACAGGGGGCGGGGGGGAGGGGCTGGCCATGCGGAGGAGGGTCAGCGAGGGCCCAGGCAGGCATGGAGGGTGGAGCGGCACCCACCAGGAGTGGAGGAGGAGCAGGAGTGCAGGTCCTGGGCTGGGAGCTGGACTTTTGTCCTGAGGGTGCTGGGATTTATGTGAGATCCGTGACAGGAAGCCTTGACCGAGAAGCTGAAGGTAAGACTTTCATGGGGATGTTACATTCTGTGCAGGGAGCAACCCTCCAAGCAAGAGATGGGAAGCTCTGGTGGTGGAAAGTCGGGCATCGGGTTGTGGAGCCTTTGGGCGGGGGTTCTGCCAGGAATCCCAGAACCGCACAGTGTCTGGTTGCACAGGAGGATCCCTCAGGAGTGTCCGCAAGTTGCTTAGCACTCCTGTCAAGAGTGGGACCTACACCGCTGCTTGCGGTTCTGGATGTGCTTGTGTCTGCCTTAGAGCGCAGGGCAGTGACGCTGTGCGACTCCTGGGTCCAGGACAGAAAATGCTCAGAGCACTTGCTTTCAGAGCCTTGAGGCTCCGTGTCAGACTCTGATGACCCTGAGGCTGCCACACTGGGAGGGAGCCCAGGCCACTTGAAAGGGCCTGTGGGTGGTCCTGGTCTTCACGTCTCCCAGGTGCAGGCTCACCCCCGAGGCTTCAACCTTCCCAGCTGAGGCCAGACATCACGGAGCACAGAAAAGCCGTTGCATGTGCCCTTCCAAATTCCAGAGCCACCAAATCCAGGAGCGTGATAAGTTGTGTCTACGCCTCCGGGTTTGTCTGCGGCAATGGCAACCAAAACAGGACTGGACTGTCCTCAGTAGGGACTAAACCTTTGGAAAGAGAGGCCTGGGGCTTCTGACCTTGCCCCTGTGATAGCAATTCCTCCGGGGGGCCAAGAGCTGGGGCCGACCCTTGGCTGGAGACAGAGAGAAGGTGGCTATTTGTATCTCCCTTTTTCCTCCTTGGCAGCATCTGAGGTGGGCAGATCTGCGGGGCCTCTGCAGGCAGTGCCCCCCAAAAGTACGCTGAGCTGCCCCCCACTCAACCAGGGATGGGGAGGGCAGGCCCAGCTCCCTGCAGCATTTTGCACATCTTCTGGGAGGGGGGAAGGGCATCTGAGGTGGGCAGATCTGCGGGGCCTCTGCAGGCAGTGCCCCCCAAAAGTACGCTGAGCTGCCCCCCACTCAACCAGGGGATGGGGAGGGCAGGCCCAGCTCCCTGCAGCATTTTGCACATCTTCTGGGAGGGGGGAAGGAGCCAGCAGGAACAGCCTTCTGGGAGTGAGCTGGTGACGACAGGGGAGAGGCCCCTCTTGCAGCAGTCCCTGTGCAAACAGCCCCACCCAAGCTCTCTCAGACCCCATCTTACGAATGAGGAAGCCGAAGCCCAGAGAGGTGTGACGTGCCCGAGGTCATTTGGCTGGACATGTAGAGCTGGGATCGTGGCCCTGGCATGAAGGACCTGCCGACTGAGCTCTCTGTCCCACTCCCACTAGGATGGGCCTCTAGTGACCCACCAACACACTTGAAAGAGGAGCCGCCACTGTGTGCCCTGCACAGCCTCGGCGCCCTCTTGCCTGGCCACGCAGCCCCTTCCTCTCTGCTCCTGCTCCCCACTGCCCCGACTCAGCCCTTCACAGCCGCCATTCCCACTGCCTGGTTCTCCTCCCTTGCCTGCAAAACACATCTTTCATGACCCAGCCCAGGCTTCCCGTGTCCAGAGAGCTTTCTTGGCTCTGCAGCCTGGGCCAGGTGCTTCCTCGGGGCTCCCGTAGACCCTGGGCTTTATGCTGTCGCAGCAGGGACTCTGTCCCCTCTGAGTTGTTTGTGTTGTATCTCCTCCCACCCTCACCCCGCCCCACCAGCCAGGGAGTTCCTTGAGGGCAGGGGTGGAACTTTGTGTTCACATCTGTGTCCCCAGCTCAGCCTGGAGCTTGGCACCAAGCAGGCAACAGAGAGAATGAGTCAGAGGTCTCAGTGGACCACTGTCCAGACACTGCCTGCAGGCCTTGGCAGAAATAAAGCCCCATCACAGATGTAGATTGCAGGACCTCTAGAGTAATTAAGATTTCAGAGTGAGACAGAAACACAGGGGCTTGTCTGGTGTCGTTAATCAATGTAAATGATGCCACTAACATGCAAAGGGTGATGGCAATATGTTGAGGTGGGAACGTGGGGTGAAGGCAGCCAAGGGGTTGGTGGGCAGGGGTGTTGGGGGACACAGGCTCAAGGGTATGCTGGGGGGAGCTTTGAAGGACCACCTCCAGGCCAGGAGTAAGGCTGGGGGAGGGGGAGCTCAGCCCCTTCTGCCCATTACCTCGAGGCCAGTGGCTCTGATGTACTGGGCAGTCACAGCAGCAGCGAGGGCTGTCACTGCTCCAGCACAGTGACACCCAGGACTCGGCAGGAGGGACGAGCGGGTGCTGGGCATGAGTTTAGAGGGCATGCCTTGCTGCCCTCCCCGGGAGCAAACCCTCGCTTCCTGAGACTGCACCTCAGGCCAGTCCCAGGCTGGGCCCTAGGGGTGGGGGAAGAATGGCTTCCCTAGGGACCCAGGGGCAGGAAAAGTGAGAAGTGTGAGGTGTGTGTCCCTGTCCCCATCTAGAGGATGGCCCAGAGTCAGTTCACAGAAGCTGAAGAAGAGCCTCTTTTTCTGAGAGGCCAACATTCATTTCTGCTCATTTTTACAGTCAAGATAATAGTGTGTATATAATTATGTGATACGCTTCTTTTGAAGTTCTCATTAGCAGTTTCCCTGTTATAGTAAATGATTTGTAAACATCTGCTCTTGCCAACCACACGGTATTCCACCCTATGAGTTGCTGTGCCCTACTTCAACGATCCCCTTTAAGTGGACAGCTATGTTGTTTCTTATTTTTCACACTCACAAACAACACTGAGATGGTGAAAAAAAAAAGCACTTTCCTTTTTTTAAATCATCTTTTAAATAAAAAAAATACATTGAACATGGAAACAATTCACGGATTACAAGAGGGTTTCCAGAAGGAAGTAAGTGTCTCCCCCTGATCCCTTCTTCCTTAGCCTCCGGAGGCATCGCTGGCGCCCGCTGCCTGTGCTACATCCAGGAGACTTTCCATACGCACATGACACATGCATTCTAACACGTGCCCCACTTTCCCCACCAACGGCAGCATGCAGCTTGTCTGTCACTCAGCAGTGCACACTGGGGCTCGTTCCTGGCTGGTACACGAAGATTAGCCTTTTATCAGCACAGCTGCAGAATATCGCCCCGAACGAGCAGCAGTGAGCTCGTAAACCAGCTCTCCAGGAAACACCAGAGCTCTGGGTTGCATCATTTGCCAGTTTCTGTGGTGTGAATCCTCCCACCATGGCCATGTCAACTTACCAACAATTTAACAACTGACCAACAATTTTTCCCGAATAGGCAGCAGTTGTCTCCCAAGAGCCAGAATGAGCCTGCTCTGGCAATTTGGACAGACAGCCTTTTTTGGTTTTTTGGTATTAGAAAACTAGTGTTTTAGGACTGATCCCCAGATGTGGAATTTCTGGGTCCAAAGGTGTAATTTTTGAGGCCTGGTTCCACTTAGCAAATTACCACAGAGAGGCGGAGCCAGCTCACATGCCCGTCAGTCAGGCTGAGCGGTCGCTGCCTGTGTTGAGTGCTCTCAGGCTTTAATTTTCCCTGCCAGTGTCCTCTTGCAGCTTTAACCTGTGGTGGGCTGGGGGGAGACGTTCACAGTGGACTGTCCGGCCACAGTGAACAGGCCTTCGGCTCCAACTTGAGGGAGGTGACTTCCTGGCACAACAGGCAGTCTCTGCAAGACCAGAGGCCAAGGGCCAGATGACTGTCTTGAGCCACAGACAGGAAAATCAGGGCCCTCGTGGGGTCTCTGTTGGACATTCCAGATGCCTGGCTTGCTAGCCCTGGGCATGCTGAGCTCACAGCCAGCCTGTGTCTCCAGCCATGCTCAGAGGGAAGCATGTGTGTGTGTGTACATGTGAGGGTGTGTGTACAGGTGTGTGTACAGCTGTGTATGTACAGGTATGTGTGTACAGGTGTGTGTGTATATATGGGTGTTTGTGTACGGGTGTGTACAGGTGTATGTAAGGGTGTGTGTGTGTATGTGTGTGTATGCAGAGGTGTATGTGTATGGATATGTGTATGGGGGTATGTGTATGGCTGTGTGTACAGATATGTGTGTATATATGGATGTGTGTGGACAGGTGTGTGTGTATGGATTTGTGTGTATATGGCTATATGCGTGTATATATGGGTGTATGTGTATATATGGGTTTGTGGGTATATGGATGTGTGTGTATATATGGGTGCATGTGTGTACATTGTGTGTGCGTATATACATCGGTGTGTGTGTGTGTATACATAGGTCTGTGTATACATAGGTGTGTGTATAGGTGTGTGCGCGTATATACATCGGTGTGTGTGTGTGTATAGATAGGTCTGTGTATACATAGGTGTGTGCATAGGTAGGTGCGCGTGTATACATGGGTGTGTGTATGCATGGGTGTGTGTATGCATGGGTGTGTGTATGAATGGGTGTGTGCGTGTATGCATGGGTGTGTGTATGCACGGGTGTGTGTATGCACGGGTGTGTGCGTGTATGCATGGGTGTGTGTATGCATGGGTGTGTGCGTGTATACATGGGTGTGTGCATGTATACATATTGCATACATGTGGGCATGTGTGTGTACAGGTGTGTGGGTGTGCATGCCTGTGTTTGGGGTGGGATTGAGGAGGCAGCAGGAACAGTCCTGGTATTCAGGCACCTTCTCCTGTGCAGCACCCATGGTTTTTAAGCTCCAAGGGGAGGCCATTCTGGCCACAGCTGTGCATGAGACAGCTTGGATACGGTTCTGACGGTGCCAGCGCGGACAAGGCGAGGTCTGGAGCTGCAGTGGCCCAGTGCAGCCCTGGGGTCTTTAATTCTCATTAACCAACACTTAGAAGCACTTGCCACATGCCAAGTACTGCTCAGAGGCTTTTCCAATATTAACTCTGTCAATACTTACAACGGTGAGGAAACTGAGGTACAGAGAGGGTGAGTAACTTGCCCAAGGTCACACAGCGAGGCAGGACCAGTTTGTCACCTAATCTCCAGCCTGACTCTGAGCCTGTGCTCCTAAAGGCTGAGCCTCTGAAGTCTGACCCGCCCAGCTGTAGACCGGACACATGGGGTTCACTCCCAGCTGCTCCATCTTTTCTGGCCCTGGCCCTGTGTGTCCTGGAGGAGGGAATTCTGGACACAGGGCGTGGAAGGGCCATAAGAATCCAGGCAGAGATGCCATGCACTGGGGGGTTCGTGTGGGGATCAACTTAGGTCGATGCCACAGTGTCTGGGGGGTGAGTTACCCCTGCCCTGGCCCTCAGAGCGAGGAGAAGTCAGGGGACACAAAGCCTCGGGGAAGTCTCCGCCTGGGCCTCAGTGGGCCCGTTGGTGCCACTGACAAAGCCCCAGCTCGAGCCTGCCGAGGCCAATGAGAATAGGTGGGCTCATGACCTGCAGTTCAGGCACAGTCAAATCTAGGGGAAGCAGCCATCGGCGGGGCTTGCTGAGGGCAGAGGCTGTCTGAGCAGGCCAGTGGAAAGAGAGCACTCCCTATAGTTCCAGCAGAAACCTCGGAGCCTGGGAAGAGACCAGCCTCATGGATCTCCGGGCAGCCTGCGGGACCAACCCCCAAACTCCACAGGTCTGAACAGCGTGTTTACTGGGTCAGGCTGCTTCCAGGCTGTGCTCAGGCAGTGGAGACCTTGGGCCTGTTGAAGCCCAGCCTTGCCAGGGACCCTCTGGAGCCCACTGACTTCCTGCTACCCTTCTGGAAGGACTTGGGTTTGTACTCAAACATGGCAGGTTCACCTCCCAGGGCAGGTGACACTCTCCTGTCACCTGGTGTCCTGAGCCAGGCCCCATCTCCCTCCTGGCATCGTGACTGTTGACCCAGCACCACCAATGGCCGCTCCTGTTCTGGCTGCCTGGTGCCCCAGTCACACCGGTGGCCACAGGCTAGGACCATGCCCCTGACAACATGTGGTCAGCTCCGGCCAGCGTCCCACACACACCCCAGCCCACGCCTCCAGACACAGACTCTCTCTTCAGGTCTATCCATGTGTGGTCCCGCTTCGGCCGCCGTGCTCACTCTAGGCTCTGTGGGGTGCTGCATCAGCACTGCCCACTGGACTGGGCGATGGACAGGGCTCTGCAGCCCCCAGCCAGGCTTGGAGGTGCTGGGCAGGGCCTTCAAAGAAAGCCCATTGGGCTCCAAGTTGAGTGTCAGATCAGAAAGCACTGACCGAGGGCAGCGGTGTGTGGGCCGGTTGCTAAGGTAACCATTGAATGAGAATTTCCAGGCTGAATCTGCTCAAGACGCTATTGGTCAGTGAGAGGAAAAGACCCGGGAGAGAGCTTCCCTGGTGAGAACAAAGAGAGAGGGGCACGAGGAAGGCCTCCCTGACAGGCAGCGCAGGCCCCCACGGGGTAACAGCATCAGCTCAGCTGAGGCAGAGCCCACGTTCAGGGAGGCCCCCAAGCCGGCTTCTTCCTGATGTGTGAAGCTGGGGAGTGGCTGACCCTCTCTGAGCCCCAGCGTCCATGGGGGGACAGTATCACATGGCCCCCCAGCTGTGGTGAAGACAGAATGACCAGGAGATGGACCGTGACTAGACATGGGTGCTGGTCGTCAGTGTCATTTCCAAGCACTCGCTTTGTGCCAGGCTCAGTGTTAAGCACGTTCTAACCTCTGTGTTCTCGATTCCTCGCTGTGAGCTAAGTAAGCATCAAATAAACATGAATAATGCATCACACATATGTACATGCACAACATGCGCAGTACATACATGCAGACATCGCACACCTACATATACAGCATGCATAAGACGCACATGTGATGTGCATGCATCACATAGACACATATGCTCGTGCACACCATACAAACCCTGGACAGACAAGATCGTCACCTCCACTTTACAGATGGGGAGATAACGGGATTTCCCACCCTATGATGGCAGCAGAGAGATTGGCGCAGACCCCGTGGGAAGCTGCCTATAGAAGAAGAGGGATGGGAATTCGCATTACTGAGCCCTGGCCTGCCCCGCAGCAACAGACACTACATACATGATTCCACGCATGCACTGCAGCCCAAGACGCTGGGAGCTGGTCCAGGCTCCCAAGGGTAGGCCAGGTGCCAGATCCCCCCACAGACTCAAGGATCAGCCTGGCCCACCATGCTAACCCTACACGGCAGAGCTCGGCACCACCCCCCACCAGCTCCTCCATTACTGGATCTGGGGCGTCCAAGGGGCTGCCAACTTCAGGCCTGGCTCAGTAGTATCATCAGGACGCCACACCCTCCTCCCATCTCAACTCCTTCCTCTCAGGTCAGCCTCATCCTTTACATGGCCGAGGAGACAGCCACCAACAGTCTGCAGGCCCACCATCTCCAAACAGTACACACGGAAAGAGTGCCTCTTCACAGCCTTGCCTGAGACGCTCCGACCGCCCATCTCTGATCACTCATGCCACTGAAAGGTCACACATTCTGGTGGACTCAAAATTGTAGGCTGTTCCCAGAGACCAGGCCAGGCAGGCGCCCGGAAGGCAGGGCTGGCCCCAGGGTGCCTGCAACTGCAGGCTGCAGGGGTACTTTACAGTTTGCAGAGTGCTCCCCGCCCATGGCCCATGGCCTCTGCCTGCCGGGCATGCGCCACGGCGGCCATCCTCAGGCATGAGTTCTCTTGGAGCCACCTTCATCCCCAGGTCCAGGGGTGGCCATGCCACCCAGCCTAGCCCATCACTGCATCTCCTTCAGGTGTCCAGTGATGGGCATAGTCCCAGCAGAGCCAAAGGGGGCGCAACCCTGGGGCTCCTGCAGCAGCTGTTGAAGAGAGGAAACCTCCTTTCCTGCTGGAGTGGCTGCAGAGAGGACACAGCCAGGAGCCATCACGGCATGGAAAGCCCACCAGGAACAGACCAACACAGAGGAGAGCAGAGCCAGGGACAGAGAGACGCCGGCCACACCTGCAGCCACCCCTCTCTGCCACGGGAACCACTAATGCTGCTGCTGCTTGGGCAGATTGAGTTAGTCTGTTACCCTTATTGTCCCTTGAGCCAAAGGAGTCCTGCTGCGTGCAGCCACTCAGGACAACAGTTGTGTCTCCTGTGAGGTTGCTCCCAGGCCCCTGGATGGATCATCTCTCTGCTTAGATCACACCCACGTGGCATTTTCCCATCCTGCTTACGTCCTTTTCTTGCATGTCCATCTCCCTGACAGGACATAAGCTCCCCAAGAGCAGTAGCGATCTCCTCCTCATCTGCAGAGCCAAGTGGTCTGGGGACACGGAGCTGGGTTCTGTGTCAGACAACCCGCCTCAGTCCCGCACCGCTCCTTGCTGCTGTGTGACCCTGTGTGGTGACTGTGACTCTCTGAGCCTCAGTCTCCTCCTCTGTGAAAGAGTCTTCAACCTGTGCTGAGGATTCCTGGCCTCGATTCTCACTCACTCACTAAAGTTATTCTCCAGTGCCTTCTGTGGTCAGGCTCAGTCCTCTGGTCCAGAGGAAGCGAGAGGGAGGGTGTGTGGGCAACAGATCTGCAGACAGCGGCGAGTGCTACGTGGACAAGCTCGGGGACGCTCTCGAGCAGCACAGCCTGACAGAACATTCTGCGATGACAGAAATGTCCTCCATCAGGTATATGTGACCACGGAGCACTTGTGAGGTGGCCAGTGAGGCTCAGGACTTGGGCTTTCCGTTTTATTGAATTTTAAGTAATTTAAATTTAAAGACGGCCGCTCAAGTCAGTTCAGATATTTTGGAACAACTTGGGTATGCAAATCTCTTTCAACAGTCAATTTTAACAAATCTAAATGCAGATCAAGTATTTCCAACAAAAATTTAGCTTCTGAATTGTCATGTGATATAAGCATAAAATATATGCCAGATTTTGAAGACAGCACAACAAAAAGAATGTAAAATAAAAGCCACTTATTGACATTTTTGAATTGATTACATATTGAATGATAACATCTTGAATATATTGGGTTCAAAGTACATTATAAATATATGAAAATAAATAATACACATGTAAATATACATAAATTTAAATTCCTTTTTTTTAAATGTGGCTCCTGTAAAATTTTAAGTTATATATGTGGCTCGCGTGATCTTTCCTTTGGACGGTCTTTTTCCTAGAGCGTTTTCAGAGGGGCAGTGGTTGGACTGAGGGTCGGAGGCCTCTCCAAGCAGGCGGCAGAGGACTGGGAACTTCGGAATGAGAGGCCCCGGCCTGAGCCCCGAGGCAGAGCACATTTGCACGTTAAGGGACAGAAAGAGGGCGTTGCCCAGAAATGAGAGAGGGAGAGGTCACTTCCTCAGCCCTGTGGCCAGGAGAGCGTGTAGGGTCCAGCGATGGCCACGCATATCTGCCATCCCGTGGGCGGTGTGGCACCCCCCGTGCCTCCTCCCTCCACACTGAGCGCGCTCTGAGCCTGGTCCCACCGCGTGTCCCCAGAA